ATAGATGCAATTTAGTATAGACGAATAAAGTCAAAGAAGTTGTATAAATTATGAAGAAGAAAATAACATTGATGAATTTTATATCTACCTCATCCAACATTATTTTTGTGTTCGAGCATTAAATTCAATTTCCTATTACATAAATAGAGTGTGGCAGATGAAGCATTAATTTTAAACATGTATTTTAATGTAAAATTATCAACAGATTTTCGTCTTTGATAGATAAAAAGGATATAAAATAAACATTGAATGAACATAATCTGTCATGTTGTGAAACTATCTGTTTATTTATGAGTATTTAAAGTAGGTAAAATAACAATTTCAGAAACATGAGAAATAAGAAGAAAATGAGTTTATATAAAAAGAAGTTGAATTTGCAAGATTAGTTGATTTCAAAGTTGGATATTTGATTACTATTGATATAAGTACCGACTTTGACCTGGTTGATTGATATTTGCTGTTGATGAATAGCTTGAATTTCGAGATTTGTCAAACATCGTTTGAATGCATTGAAATCGGCTATACGAACGTTACTAGATGATTCTAATGGATTAATATCATTCGTGGAAAGCATTACAAAATTACGTAAATCAGTGCCTGGCTCCATATCAATAAAGAATTTATCGTATTGATCGAATTTTGAAATAATAGTTCCGTCGATCCATGTTTGATAACGGAATTGTGAATCATTCTTCGTTAACACAATATGAATCCATCGATTATTGATTGGTATGCAGTTCCTTTTATTGAAACAATAGTTTCTATTACCCCGAAGATAGATACATTGATTGTTACCGTTATTATTTGAAATTAGTATAGATAATTCGCATTGGTAAGGTAAGAAGAACCAGAAAGAAAAAGAATGAGATGACTTGAAGAGTGACGATGGATAAAGATGTAGAAGAGAATCTTTAACAATAGATGAAGCATTTGAAACAGTCAATGGTAGGAGCCAACATTCACTTGACCGAAGATTGATAGGAAACAATGATTGATTGATGTTTAACATCAAATTTCGTTTACATTCTTTGATACGCTTAGGGTACGTATTATTAGGTGCTTGTCGTGAATATTTTAATGATCGAGAAAACCATTGATTTAGAAAATATTCGTTATTTATAAGCAAAGAGCGCCAACGACTACAGACAAAAGCTATTTGAAACAGATCTAACCATTGATCAACGTACCAGAAAATGTGGCATAACAATTCGCATGGTAATTGATCCATTCTATCTGTCTATTGTTGTTCGTTTCGTCGAAGAAAATGTTGCGCATACAAGTATTGTTGTATATATAATCTTTCCTTGATATTGTTATACAGACATCAGACGTGTATTGTTCTCTTAGTCAGGTCTTGAACAATGAACGTCGACATAGTAATGAGTGCTCACGATGAAAAATCGTATTCATTGATTACAACTTATTTTTGAAATGATTTCATATGTTTTGAGATGATGTTTATTGAGTTTTAAACCTTCCTTTGTAAAACACAATATTTTAACATATCATGATCATGAGATTTCAAATTCTTTTTGTTTTATTTTATTTGAATTCTATGCATTATAATACAAATACTCTTTTATATAGTGGATTTTTTGGACGATGTTCATTCTGAAGAGGGTATGGATAGATGAAAAACAAACGCCCACATCTCGAGATAATGCAGAACATTTTTTCGATAAGAAAAAAAAAGATCTTAAAATTTTTCGAATTATTTATAAATCAGTTCCGTTTTTAATTTTAATTCAAAATATGATATTTATTTTGATTCGATCTTCACGTTTCTAATTGGAACTTGCTAAAATGAATAAAAAAAACCTAATTTAAATCATATCCTAAGTTGGATTCATATTGCAGTTACATTTTATAATGAAGAACGTTTTGAACATGAGTTCTCTGATAGTGAAGCACTTCCAACATTATTATGTCTCGAAAAAAGAACCCATTATCTCTTCATTTTCAAAACTAAAGGGTTCATTTATCTTTATTTTTTAACATTAAAAGATCACTCCTAATCTTGCCCCAATTTTATTTATACAAACCAATCCTCAACATAAGCAACTAACATAAAAATCGTTGACATAAGAACGATTAATTTTCTTTCTTCAATTGTATTTATACCCTCGAGTTGAAGCCTTTGTTTACTTTATTTCTATACTATCATTCTTTGCACCAAACTTATGACTAAATAGAGATATGATGGGACATAATGGAAGACCTAGAGTCTTCCAATGTATCAAGGGCTTTACGAAAAAGTCGTATACGCTATTAGTATACATGTTCATGATGCTCTCACATCACTCCAGTTGTATTCGTTCCACAGAAAACATGAGTCCATCTGTGAGAGAAGAATGAATAGAAGACAGAACGAGTAGATGCCTATAATCAGTCATGAGGTCAGAATGTCTTGTCTCATATTGACTGACGTATTACTTCAACAATCGATTACATACTTTTGTTTCACAAAAAAATCCCCGTTTTGTCTACTACTTTTTTCGGTTTATTACTATTATCATTTATTTGTATTAACTGTGAATATACACCATAGGATTCAACATGCGATTGTACTGCAATATCATCGAATGGTAATGTTTGTCTTAAATATACTTGTGTGACTCAAAAACGTGAACCAACATGCTTTCCTAGTCGAAGTACCATCGTAACTGAAAATGGTGTAAAGAAATCTTTATCTTATATAGATATTGGAGAACGTGTATTGGTTATTAATAAAGAAAATAAATTAATTTATGAACCTATTGAAGATTTTATTCATTTAAAACGAAATGGTTCATTTAATTTTTTATTAATAAATATAGAAATATTACAACATCTTTATTTATATTACGAAATCATTTAATATTCTTAGCAAATGATACAGAATTAAACAATGTTATATTTGCTAGTCGATTGCATTCAGATGATCATATAAAATATGTGTATAAAAATGAAATTATATTAGATAAAATTCGAAATATTGATTTAACAACAGAAGAAGGTTATTATGCACCATTAACACCATCAGGTACAATTATCATTGATAATGTTTTAGTATCGAATTTTGCATCAGTTAATAATCATTATTTGGCTCATAATGTTATGAAAATCTATTGATGGTGGATTTATTTATTTGGATCAAATAAAACTAATGAAAATATTCATTGGATATTAAAATTAATTGAAAAATTGGTTCAATGGTATGGTATTGAAAAATTTGGTCAAATTTCAACGTTCTATCGTGTATATCAAATATTTGGTTTTTAATCTTTTGAAATAAACTTTATAAAAAATATTTCAATGAAAGTTAATTGGTTTTAATTAAGTAAGGATGTGGATGGTGATCTTTTTTATGATATCTACACCCATATTCTAATTCTTGAACCAATAAAAATGTACATTTCTGAATGTTATATTTCATATGTTCTATTAAAATATAAGATTGTTCAAGGATTGATAGAAACATAGACAAACTTACGTTCATCAATAACTCAGAACAGAAAAAGAAAACACGTTAGATTTGTATAAAAATTGACTATTTTGTCTACATTAAATTAAATGAGAAACATTGCAAACTATATGTTGATTCACCTAATGAAAATGAGGAAGTTCGAATGTTAGTTGTCGATTGACTGGTGAACTTACGAAAGAATGAGCTACTAGATTATGTGAGAAATATTTTTCTTCCAAGTCTTTTTTTGTCCGCTATATAGCATTATGCATTTCAATGATGGAGAATGAAGTATAGTATTTATTTCATGATTTACTATTTGATGTACACGATGACATTTTAACTCGAAGATATATATGTCAAATATTCATAATAATTCAACAAACATTCCAACTTAGTGAATGAGAATCGTTTCTTTCCTATGAAGAATATGATAACATCTATGGTTGAATTTTGATTATAAATAATCGAACATCACCTATCTAACGAACAATTTTGAGGGTGTAGGTCTGGATCTGGATGACGGCGTAGATGAGAACATGGCACCTACACTCCAGATCCTCACACACCCTTAACTACACTATAGCATATATCTTTCTAGGTTAAATATGAACCAGTCTAAATTAGTTGTCTGAAAAATCAGGTGGAAATAAGCAATTCAAAACTAGTTTATACTATTATTGTAAATAGTTCCTGCTAGTCGAATTAGTCTAGACAGTGTGAACAGACCAAACGAATGAATCATGACTGAATATGAACTCGCTCCAGGCTAATCTACATTTAGTTGCATCAAAGAGATGTGTAAATCATTTCAGACTAGACCAGATAACAGTGCAAATATTTGAGATTAGTCATTGTTAGGTGTCTGCTTTTATTGATTTATTGCTCGTCTGATAATGTATAAATATTTTGTTTGCCAGTGTGTACAAACTAATTGACTTTTAAAAAAAAGGAGAACTGCTGTGGGTGTGGGTGTGGGTGGGTGTGGGTGTGGGTGTGGGGTGTGGGGTGTGGGTGTGGGTGGGGTGTGGGTGTGGGTGTGTGGGTGTGGCTGGGTGTGGGCGTGGGTGTGGGTGTGTGGTGGCTGCTGGCTGGGTGTGGGTGTTAATCTTCACATCATCAACACCCAAACCCATACCCACACCACACACCCATACCCACACCCAACCCACACCCATACCCACACCCAACCCACACCCATACCCACACCCAACCCACACCCATACCCACACCCAACCCACACCCATACCCACACCCAACCCACACCCA